ATTTTATATTTTTTTTAATTTTATACTCTTATTTAAAATTTATTCTATTTATTAGAAAAACATTAAAAAAATTTGAAAATATTTAATTATAAAATAAAAATAAATAGAAAAGCTAAAAAAGAGGTAAAATTTTAAATTAAGGATTGTTTTATTTTGAAAATTGACCAATTTGATCTGAAAATATTTGAATAAAACTGACTGCCTGTGCCTAATTAAATAACTGCCTGCCTACCTACCCATCCATATAAAATAACTCTTTAAAAAAGTTTAACAAGAGAAGATGTCTACAAAAGAAAACAACACTTCTGATTGGTTGTTGAAGCTATTGAAAGAAATTCAACTAGATCAATTCTACATCAAATTAAGAGATGATCTGCAGGTTACCAGGTGGGTGGGTTCGTTTTTTAAATTAAAACAACTGACTTATTTGCTTAACACAAACCAACCTGACACTAATTCAAAGGCTATCACATTTCGACTATGTCAAACCGGAAGATCTTGAAGGAATAGGAATGGGTCGGCCAGCCATCAGGCGTCTGCTTGACTGTGTTAAAAAACACCAAGGAAGAAAATCATTCCTAACTAAGGTTCTTTGCTATTAGCAATCTCACTTCTATGTTTAGAGTTTTTATTTCTGTGGTTATTATATGGTATTTATCTACATAAAAATATAAAGGAATTAAATATTTAAGAATTTATTATGAAGTATGTATACTTCAATTCACTTTTAATCCTATAGATTCTTCCAGTTAAACAGTCCGTAACCACACCACAGCAACAACCAACATCCCCAGTGATGTTGATGTCATCGATGATGTCATCAAACAGTGATGCGCTGAAATGTTTAATAAATGAGAAAGATCTTCATTTTGTTTGCAAGCTTGGGGATGGTTCATTTGGTGTGGTTAGAAAGGCTATCTGGATGACTTCACCTGTTAATAAGGTTGACTGGCTTGTGATTGGCTGGTTAATTATTATTAACTGGTTGATGATTGGATGGTTGCTGGTTGGCTGGTTTATGATTGGTTGGTTGCTGTGACACACATACAGATTCCAGTAGCAGTAAAAACATTGAAAGGTGAGATGGATGGATCGATGGAGGAGTTTATGGATGAAGTGAGAACGATGTACTCACTCGACCATCCAAACATCATCCATTTATATGGGGTTGTACTTTCAAATCCGCTCATGATGGTGAGGATGATGATGATGATGATGATGATGATGGGAGTGTTGTTGGTGATGATGATGTTGGTGATGATGTTGTTGTTGGTGATAATAAAAAGTTACAAAGATTGTGATAATGATGATTTTGAAAAATTAAAAGATAATTTTTAATTCCTGCAACTAATTGTTTATCAAAAATTTTTTCATGTTATCATCACCTAATTAATAAAAAATCATTCAACTAACCAGCCAACCAACCAACCAACCAACCAACTAACCAACTCTCCAGGTTACAGAACTAGCTCCACTAGGCTCCTTGCTAACGTACCTTCGGCACCCCGACCACCACTGCCGAAACCTGCCTCTGCTGACCACACTGCACAGCTACATGCTGCAGATCTGTGATGGCCTGGTCTACCTTCAATCACTCCATCTCATTCATAGAGACCTTGCTGCCAGGAATATTTTTATGATGTCACTTGAGAGGGTTGGTCGATTGTTTGGCTGGCTGGCTGATTGATTAGTTGGTTGACTGGTTGTTTGGTTGATTATTGATGGATCGATTGATTGATTGATTGATTGATTGAAGGTGAAGATAGGTGATTTTGGGCTGATGAGATCGTTGTCATCGCACGGAGATCATTACGTCATGAGTGAGAAGAAGAAGATGCCATTTGCATGGTGACTGTCCGAATGGATTGCTTCATCACTTAAATCGCCAGTTCAAATAATTTATTTAAGCTTTATATATTCTGAATGAAAGTTGTAACGTGTTTGTGTGTGTGCAGTGGTTCTTGTTTAGGCAATTGATCTATTGGTGGTGATGGTGGTGGTGGCTGGCGTCATATCTGTAAACTTCAGTATCAGCCTGCGAAACTAAAATGTTTGTATGGCTCTGATCTAAAGAACATTCAACAAAACAACAATCATCGATCTCTCCTATTAAACAATCATCTACACATAGCAAACTAATCAACCAATCATCTTCTATCTCTCAAATCGATCCATTAAAGTTGACCAATCAAACCATCCGAAACAAGGTGTGCCCCTGAAAGCTTGAAGCTCCGACATTTCTCACACGCCAGCGATTGTTGGATGGTTGGCGTGGTTATGTGGGAGATTTTCAGTGGGGGGGAAGAACCCTGGGTGGGCCTCAACGGGGGGGAGGTTAGTCGTGGGTCTTCAGTTAATTTTGCGCATTAATTATTATATTATGATTAGTAATTATCACCAAACAAGACTGATACCTCCTTCTTTTTGCTGAAAGTAATAAATTAGTTAATTTTTTTTTGATTTGTGAATATTTCTTTTTTGACTTTCGCTCCCGGACGAAGATATTACAACGTATCGACTCACCGAACGATCGATTAGTGAGACCGAGGAGATGTCCGAGCAGGTTCTACGAGCACATCCTCAAAAAGTGTTGGGCGTGCAGGCCGAGCGATCGTCCGGATTTTAAAACTTTGAAGTCTCTGCTCATTGAGGTTTCAGTTGCTGATGAAGATGATGTTGATGAGGAGAATATTGACGAGGATGATGATGATGATTGTTGTCAACATCATCCCACACCAACCTACATACAGAACACTCCAGAAGAGTATGTATCGCTAGCTAGATATAACAACAATAGCTCTGGCAGAGCTGACCGTGATGATAACGATCGGAACAATGGAAGGATTGCCAATCCTCTTGCTGATGATAATGATGTCGGCGGTGATGATAATGATGTTGTTGATGGGGGCGGAGGTTTCCTCGATTTGGAGAAAGATGATTTGGTGATTATTATTGACGGCAGGTGGGATTCATTTCTTTTATCATCGTCTACGTCATCACCATCGTCGTCATCATCATCATCGTCGTCATCATCATCATCGTCGTCATCATCATCATCATCATTCTTTTCACGTAGTATATATTGAGTGCATATAAATGCACGTGGTTCATCTTCTCGTCACACACATTGCATGCATGTATAGGCGGGGATCTTCTTGTATTCGAACCCGGCAACTGCAGCAACAGTGGCAGGCACTTTAGCCATTACGCTATCATCTTTGTCATAACCATCAAAATGATGATGACGACAGGCCGACTCATCATTGGTGGTTCGGTCAAAACAAGAGGACCACACTAACTGGAATGTTCCCGAGAACTCTCGTTGATCCCATGAGGAAGATATCAGGTGAGGAGGATGGTGATAAAGATGATGATGATGTGTGTGTGTGTGTGTGAGAGAGAGAGAGAGAGAGAGAGAGAGAGAGAGAGAGAGAATATGCAGACGAGTTTGCTTGAACTTGTGCACTTTCCTTCATCTTATCTCTTCTTCCTCTCCAACTTCATCATTACTGTCGTCACCAACGATAACTTCACCATCCTCACCACTATGATGTCCAGGTGATGATATCAGCAGTCCCCTTAAGAACAGTCTGGTGCATGCGGGCCACGCCGACGGTGGTGGGGGAATGTGGGGAAATCCGTCGTTCATTGATGAGTAAGTGATGATGATGATGTGGTGTGGTGGTGTGGGTGGTGGTGCGTCTCTTGTCGCAATGATGTGGTGCGTCTCTTGTCGCAGTTTTGTTTGTCGACCATATGATGGTAATTATTATTATTATGATGATGATGATGATGATAATAATAATAATATAATTTTATATAATAATATAATTTTATAATTGTCGTTTAAATCAGGAAATATTTGAAGAACCCGACTCTACCACCAGACATTAGATGCAGAAGTGAAGTCATATCAAGAAGTCTGTATTTGAAAACCAACCAATCAACCAACCAATCAGTCAACCAATCAGTCAATCAATCAGTCAATCAATCAATCTATCTATCAACCAGCCAGCTAATTTCATTATTATTATAATTAGTTATAATTTTTATCACCAGGCTTCTACCAGCCAAAGAGAGGGTCCACTAACAACAACATCAGAAGACCAACTAGAGCCAAATCTCCGAACCCGTCATCATCATCGTCATCAGTAGCAGCAGTAAAGAATAAAAAACCAACGAAAGATCGTCCTGGTTCTTTATTCTACCCCCTTCCCGGTGAAATAGGGGACTTCGGGGTCTGCCACTCCCCACAGGTCTGCCACTCCCCACAACAACAACATCATCCATTCAATAACAACAACAACAACAACAATGATATTAGTGGTGCAGTTGTTACTGAAGGGCTATTGGTTGATATTGATAGCAACAGCATTAAAAACAACAACATCAACAACATCATCAACAACAACAACAACATCAAAAACAATCACATCAACAAAACCGCACCACCTGGCAACATCAACAACAACAAAAACATCAACAACAAAGCCAATAGAAACAACAGCAGAAAAAAATCAAAGAAAAAGTTAATAGCCAACAACATCATCGTCATCCACAACAGCGTCAACAACAATAATTTGTTCTGCAGCAGCAGCAGCAACTTCACCAACATTCCAAATAAAATTGATGTCATGGAGATGTTTGATGGTTCCATTGATGGCACCCCTCTACCTCCACCCATCACCGACTCCATTGCTAGGTCTGCCCGCCATCACCTGATATATCAACTTTATATGCATTTTCATTCGTTTCGTTAGCGTTTTAAATAGTTGGAACATTATCGTTTCATTCATCCATCCATTCATTCATTCATCCATCCATCCATTCATTCATTCATTCCTAGTTAGAAATTAGTGTTTACTGGAATGAAACCATTTATTTCTATTTATTGCAGCACTCAGAGATTATCAGACGATAGCTATACTGCCTACCTCATTCCTAATTGCACACACAACAACAACAACAACAACAACAACAATAATAAAAACAATAATAATTATAATTTGGGTGGTTTTGTTGATGCTACTTACTGTAATGGCAGAAAAATTACAGAGCAACAACAACAACATGAACAAGGTTGTCAAAATGTTGACAGTGGCACAATAGATTACACAAAGTTCAGGAACTTATTCATTGCATCACCAATGTCACCGCCGCCATTGTCGTCGTCGTCATCATTAGCTGCAGCTGCTGCAAAGTCATCATCAACTGCTGCTGCTGCTGCAAAGTCTTCATCATCTCCGCGACATGCATTGATGTCATCACAACAACAACATGTAGCGGAAGTAACATCAACACCAACAACAGCAGCAACACTCGCTTCATCTCCTCAACCAATCTTCCACAAGAAAGATTTGAAGTTGCAATTGGAAAAACAATTGCATCAACGATCGCAACAACAATCACAACAACAAACAACAACATCAGCAAAACAGTTCTCTTTAACGCAACGACAACAACAACACTACCAACAACTACATCAAGACATTTACTGCAACACCAGTGAATACACAACAGCAACATCATCAACGCCATCAGGAACAACAACATCAACAACGACAACAGACATATACGCAAACTATGATGACTTTATGCTGCAAGAAATTGAACATCGAAATAATTCTCCAGATGCTGGTGAGGAGGAGGTAAGCGATGACGACGACGATGATGATGTCTACCATAATGGTGACGAAGTCGTTACGATGACGTCATTTTCAATAGACCATCCCGTCAGCAACAAAAATGACGTCGACGCCAACAAAAGACTTAAAATAGAGAAAGGTGACAAGAAAGTGGGGAATAATGAAACGTATGCAAATTTTAATGATTTCATGCTGCAGAAATCACATCAACCAACAACGAGCAAGTCGAAACTCGTATTCAACAACAACAACAGCAACATCGACAGCCAAATTGACAACAACACTTATGCAGTTCACAGTAGTAACAACAAAATCAACAGCAGCAACAGTATTCTGCTCCCACAACGAAATAAAACAATTCTACAACCACAACAACAATCACAATCACAGCACAAACTCGCAACTCCGACAACTCCAACATCAACAACTACGTCAACATTTCACAACTTCAATCATAACAACAAAATCACCTTTCCCCAACAACTGCCCAAATTCACGAACAACAACAACAACAACCACAATGACGTCAGAGCACAAATGGTAAGAGCTCTGATGAATGAGGTAGCTGGGTCGACATGGGAGGAATCAGAAGAGGCATTAGAGGCCTCTGATTGGTCAAAAGAGAAGGCAGGGCGCAAGCTAAAGCTGAATAAATTATGCAAATTAGGCATAGCCTCTGAATCCAGATGTTTGATGTTGTTGCAAAAATATTGCTGGGATTTCAAGATGGCCGTATCGATGATGCTTCATGATGAAAATATCACTTCATCCGTTTGAATGTTTCCGTCTGTCTGTGTTTGTTTGTTTGTATGGGTGTGTACGTTTGTATGTATGTATGTGACTGTATGTTTTGTTTATTTGTATATATATATATGGCTGTATGTATCGTATATTCAAATGTATGTATGCTTGTATCTGTCTGGAGACGTTTGTTTCTTTGTTCGTATGTGTGTATAGCTGTGTGCACAGTTCATGTCTGTATATTTGCATTTTCCAAGTTGAGTTGTTGTTGAGCTGATTTATTTTTAAAGTGCTTTCAATGATACATCGTTCAGTAAACAATTTGATAAATATTCTTTCTTTTTTGCTTTCCTCCATTCGTTCGTTCGTTTTGATTTTTCGCTTGTTCATTCTTTTAACAATTGCTTCCATTCCAAATTGTTATTAATCTTTGTAATTTATTTAAACTGGTTGTTAAAGGCTCCTTCAATTAGGAAGTCCATCATTATTAATTGCCACTTTTGTTGAGGATTTCGTTAATGAGTTTTTTGTTGATGCTGCTGACGTCACGACGCAATTGATATCGACCAGCAGACATTTATGATCTTCATCCGGTCGGTCGGCCACTTTTTTTTAACATAGTTTATCAACGTTTCTCATCTTGATCGAGTTATTATATTACGGTTGTCGTCACATCATCTTCGTCGTCGTCATTATCATGATTGATCTCGTTGTCGTGTTCCTTCAGACTATATTAAGCCGGCAACCTATAAAAATGAATGTATGCATACATTATGCAAGTGTTAATGAATAAATTATGTAAATATTATTGAATAAATTATGCAATCTAACTTAGTGAAGTTAATGTAATATCGCTTTTTGCATTGCATTAAAATTTACCCTCTATGTATCTAATTATTTTCTTGTTCTGATCAATTGATTAATTGAATCACTGACTGGTTGAATGATTGACTGACTGATTGATTGATATGCAACGTGTCTCATAACCATGATTCCTACTGGTTGTAAGATATTTCATGTTTCTATTTTTACCGACCAATCATATTTCAGAAATCTTTGAAATTGATTTTATGTTGCAGTGTTCATATTTAACCTTGGAATGTATTATCGCTATTATTATTATTATAGTTATTATTATTGTTATAATTAGCAAGACCCAACCATCCATCCATCATTTCATCAAAGAAAAAGGAATGAACAGAACGTTTGAAAGAAAAGAACAAAACGGTTAAAAACATTGGAAACGAATCAATGCTGAAATGACGATAGGAAAAATTAACTGATTAACCAATTAAATTATTTAAAAGACAAATAAATTGAAATTAATAAAACGTTTAATTGTAAAAATCTAACTCCAATGGACGAAACCTCATAAAGAATGAATTCAGCAAGTTATATACAAATATATAACTATATATATATATATAAATATAACTGTTGGAAGGAGACCATATTTTAGACAGTTTTGTATTAATTCTACCGAATTGTCGGCATTTATCAACTTCAAGTTCGTCTTTTCAATGTTTGCCTTGTCTTATTAGGATTTTCTAGTAAGGAAAATTGAAAAGGCAAACTTTAAATTGATTAATGCCAACGATTCGGTAGAATTCATACAAAACTGTATATAACAATATGTATATATAATTATATATTTTTATGTTTATATTTATAACAGACGCGCGCACACGGACTAAAGCGTTCAGACAGAAATACGATCACAAATATATTAGAAGCTTTTAAATATGGGCAAAGTAAAATATTTATATGCCTGTATGTGTTTGTGTGTATGCCTGTATGTGTGTGTGTGTGTATGTGTGTTAATGGGCGGAGCAAGGCAGCTGGTTTGAAATGCATACAAATAAATGACTTGTAAATTAATAAAAAATACATAAAACTTAACACTATGTATATAGATATATAGCAGTTATATAAATATAATATGTATATATATATATAATCAGTATATACAAAAAGAAATAAATATTATAATATATATATATATATATTAAATAAATATTTGTAAATGAGAAAAACCCGAAGATAATATGTGAAGACTAGTTGACGAGTGGATATAATGTGATTGAGAAAAATAAATTGTTGAGCTTTAAATAAACTAACTGATTGACCGATTGGTTGATTGATTTATTGGTGGATGAATGAAGGATTGACTGACAGAATGAATAAATGATTGATTGATGGGTGCTTCAGTCAGTAAATGAGTGAATAACCGACCAGTATAAACTTGAAATACATTTTGCGATGTGCAACAAACAGATGCAGATAGTCGTCTGATGTGGCGAAGTGATGACGAGATGATGACATCTTTCCTTCATCATCGCTGTGACTGCTTTCTATCACCATCGCCATCTTCATTGTCTTTCCCTCACAGCCCACAGCTTCCTGTTCGTAGTCATTTTGGATGAAATCTGAAGTGATTTATCATTTGTTTTTTAACTTATCTATTCGTATGTACAAACAAACTTGCATATATACACACACTCTAAAAAGTTGCGAAAAAACGAACTACAAACATATTAACGCCAAACATTCGGTAGAATTTATAGAATATTGTAAAAATTATGGTCTATTACCAACATATATATATATATATATATATATATATATATATATACACACATATACAGACATACATATAAATACAGACATAGAGACGAAGACGAAGAAAAATACCTAGTGAGATGTTTGCTGCCTTCATGTACAGGCATCTCGGTGCTTTTGAAGGCATTCAACTCCTTCCGAATGGCCGCCTGGTGATGATGATGACGACGACGATGAAGATGATAGTAATGATGGAGAAGAAGATGGTAATGATGATAGGAACCTTATCTCTTGAAGTGAGGCGTGTCCAAGGTTTGTCGGCCGTCCTATCATATTCTTCGGCGTTTGTCACCTCGATGAAATCGTTAAATTTTATGATCTTTCGCTCCTTCAGTTCCTCCACTGTCGGTCGAAAGCTCAGCTGTCATTGGTTGATTGGTTGTTAAATGATTTTGATTGGCTGGTTAGTTGGTGGATTGGTTGTTAAATGATTTTGATTGGCTGGTTAGTTAGTGGATTAGTTGTTAATTGATTTTGATTGGTTGGTTGTTTGATTGGTTGGTTGTTTGATCGGTTTGTGACTTGCTGGCTGGCTGGTTGGTTGGTTGATCGATGAAATCGTTAAATTTTATGATCTTTCAATGATATGATTGGCTGATGATCAACCAGCATTACAAACCTTCCTCAACAAAGTTCTTTTCTTTTCTTCTTTCTCGTTCTCTCGTTCTTCTACAGTCTGTTCTGTGATGACGATGAAAAAGAAGAAGATGATAATGAATATTCATAAACATAGAAACCGCATAAATTATAAACTGACTAACTGTAGATTATATGCTTGGCTATCAGTTCTTGAAGTGTTGGTCTTAGGCTTAACCGGCTGTTGGCGTGATCATAATCGTCATCACAATCATCATCACAATCATCATCATCATCACAATCATCATCATCACAATCATCATCATCACAATCATCATCACAATCATCATCGCAATCATCATCATCATCACAATTATCATCACAATCATCATCATCACAATCATCATCATCACAATCAGCACCATCGTCGCGACTAACTGATTCAAATGTCTCTTAAGGACAAGTTTGTTGTAACCCTCATCGTCACACACGTCAACATCCTCGAATGTCCTTGACCTCAATGCATTGCTAACCTGCACGCATGCAGCCATAACATTAATAATAATAAATAATTAAATAAATATTAAATAATTATAATAACATCAATAATAATGATGATGAAAGATAATAATAAATAATGAAACCCGGCCATCCCTGTTTTCTTACCTGTACGACCCCGATCTTAACACCTGGACGGGTGGATAATAAACTCATCACCTCCTTCCTAAATGTCCTTTCATTGCTTTTCAAGTTGTCTTCTTTTCCATCCTCATCATCATCGTCGTCATCATCATCATCAATGACGTCATCATCGTTATTATAGTTTCGTACATCATTATTATCATCATCGTCGTCGTCATAATTTTTGTGTAAGGAACATCGCGGACCTTTGTAATCATCTTCTCCGTGCAAAATTGCTGGAGATGGCGATCTATAGCAAAATCATCTTCGTCATCATCATCATCTTCACCATCATGGTCACCATCTTCGTCATCATCTTCACCATCATGGTCACCATCTTCGTCATCATCTTCACCATCATCGTCATCATCTTCACCATCATCGTCATCATCTTCATCATCATCGTCGTCGTCATCATCACTGTCAACACCATCAACACTAACAATAGATCAGCTTCCGTGCCACCACCATCATCATCATTATAACCATAATGATGGTGTCGATTATTAATGTTATTATTATTATTGTTATTATAGTTATTTTTATTGTTGTTGTTGTTATTATTATTCATTTTATTGTTAATATTGTTAGCGTTGTTATTAACTATTGCGGTCCTTGGCAATGAATTAGACCGGCGATTATCGATGTTTATATTGTTGATGTTGTTACTGATGTTGTTGTTGATGTTGTTGCTGATGTTGTTACTGATGTTGTTGTTGAGGTTGTTACTGTTGTTGTTGCTGATGTTGTTGTTGAGGTTGTTACTGTTGTTGTTGTTTTTTTGTAACTTCTGTAAACTCCTCGAGCCCTTCATGGCGCTTTTGAATGGATGCCTAATAGTTTGTGAAAATGATTTAGAAACAATACAAGAATAATTAAGGGAACATTTACAACGACATCCTCAACAAATACAACCACTACCAACAACACCACCAACAACAACAACAGCATCAACAACAACATCATCAACAACAGCAACAGTAACAACAGCAACAACCTCTCCAAGTTGGGCTCGTGGACAGGTACCTCGTCGTAACTGCCAACGACAGGGATCAGCGATGTGGACTTTTTCAATGGCAGATGATTAAAAATGGATCTAGACGTCGTTGTTGTAGCTGATGTTGTCATTGATATCTGCTGCAACGATGACGATGAGAATTGATGTTCCTGGCGCTTCAAATTGTTGTTGTTGTTGTTGGGGATTCTATATTTGTTAAGTGAGAGCAGTCTTCGATGATGATGATGATGGCCTGCGCCTGCTCATAATAAAAATAATTATCAGTTAATTATTATCATTATTATTATTATTATGCCTATTTTTATTCATTTGTAGACTTTTCAAGTTTTTTTAAGAAGAATCAACAAGATCCAATACAATATTGTATCTGAACTGTATGCAAGTGCATGTGACAGGGGGAATTCACTTTGCATTTGAACCAGGCGGGCCGAATGCACTGCCACTAAAAATGTAGCAAGTCTGCATATATGATTATTTCAACAAGATTTAAACTCACCGGATCTTAAAAATAAATTCCCTTTTCTATTCAAAGACGCTGACGATGATGACGCCAGTGACGAACTACTTGTTTTGAAAATGTTATTATTATTAATGATGACGTCATTATTATTATTATTATTATTATTATTATTATTATTATTGATGCGGTTGTCTTCAGCCTGAGTTGATGTCGTTGTAGGCAGTGAGGGGGCAGAGAGGGAAGACAGGTTCTCCAAAATATCTGCTAAACGACAACAACAACAACATTAACCTGCTGCATGAATCTTGTAAAAAAAACTACCAGCTAACAATTCACCGTAAATGAACCGTAGTACTAAGTTAGTTCACATTAGTGAAATCAACCAATGAATTAATTAATCAATCAATCATTCATTCAATCAATCTCTTAGCTTATAAAGCGCTATTTTCACGATGTTCAACAGCCTCACATATTTATTCACATGGAACAAAAATCAATTATTTTCATTTAGAAGACTCTCCTGCTAATTACATTGAATTTTATAATAATAATAATAATAACGGGGACAATATTTTATTGACCAAAAAGATAAAATCAAAATGAAATCAATCGAAAATTATTAATAATATATAAGAGTGTAAATAAATAAATGTAAATAATTTATCAAATTTATAAAATTTTATAAAAAGAAAAGAAAATCCATTAAAATGAACGATCCTCTTATGCTCATTATCGTTGATAAGTGCATAGTTGATGATAATAATATAATAATAATAATTATAATAATTATACTTTAATAATTACTTTGTTCAGCAGCAGTGGCCAGTTCATCTTTAAAAATTAACATTAATATAATGTAATTAGTTAATTGATTCACATGAAAATTGAGTCGAATTTTATGTAGATTTAAATTGCATAGAAAAATTCATTTTAAAATAAAGAGTTTTTAAATAAATTTCACCGTCAACCAATAAAATTATTGAGATAATTAGGCCAGGAATGTGGCTAACTCTTCTTTAAATGTTTAAAAATAAAATTGTCATATGCCAAATTAGTGTGTACTTTGGGAACATCATAGGTAATGAAAGAAATTTGTATCCAAAGATTGTGATAATCATGATCTAACAAACCTATGATATCATTGGTCGATTTCTTTTTTTCCAACTTCAAATTTTTAAAAAGTTTAGCAAAGATGGCAAATCTACTGAGCCTCTCGATGATTGACAGCTCTCGGGGAGGACTGTCCATTGCAGACATTTTGAAATTAGTGTTTAGTTAGTGTAAAGTTGAGTTAGTGCTTGCTGTAGACTATCTTTACCTGGTATAAAAATGAATATAACAGCACATATAATATAATAAAAGTAATATAACAGAATTATTGCAAACATTAAATTATGAAAACTATATAAAACTCTATACAACACTATATAATGAATCCCATATAACTCTATATAACTCTACATATTTTTATAATATAAAAATATTATATAAAATTTATATAAACCTATATAACTACCAATCTATTTATCTATCTATCTATTCTAAACCTAAAACTTAAGATAATTTTTATCTAATAGTATCTATCTACCTACCTCTCTATTTTATCTACTATTAAAATTAAATTAACTATCTGCATAGTAGTAGGTATCTATTCATTCAATTCATAGTACTACTAAATTACATTACTATTATTGCAGAAAACAAGATAACCTTTAGCATCTGTATCTAAGTAGGGTCTAATTCATAGTACTATTTATTAGCATTACTACATTATTACAGGGGAGACTTTAATTAAGTTTGATTAATAAATTAATTTAAATTTAACATTACATGTGAATGAAGTTTCAAGGTATGACAATCTATAAACTACTACCTCTATCTCTCTCTCTCTCTCTATATATATATATATATATATATATATATATGTATATAAATTACCCCATATAACTCTACGTTTTATCAATGATAGGCCCCAGCATTCAACTGGCGATCACCATCTCTGAATTAAAAGACGAATGTAGCAACTCCGGATAACAAAACGTATAATGTTGAAGAACGAAGTACGAATGAAGCATTTAAAAACCGGTTAATCAAGATTTTAAAAGTGGAAAAAATGAATTTGTGGTTCTTTTTGTGATTTTAATTTAAATTAATTTCTGAAATTATACATTAAATTCATTTAAAATGCATTTGATAACCTTTCATGTTTAAAAAAAGTCGTTGCCATTTTGCATTTTAACATAAATTCGTGGAAAGGTAAATCAATAATTAAAATAGGGATGTGCGAGGTTTTTCGATTTCTACAGGTGAAAAACACACACACATACAGACAAACACACACCACACACACATGTATATACACACATACACATATGTATATATATATACACACACACATATGTATATATACACACACACGTATGTATATACACACATACACACAATTATTTACAAAACTCTCTTTAGTTTACTCAAAGATATGATATAAACAACAAGCACGTAAATTGTACAAACCAACACGCACATTTTGAATACCAGGCGTATTAACCAATAAAAACGCCATCTTCATAACCAAAAACAGTAATATATGAAATTATGTTTGAAAATATTTAATTATTATACAGATTTCACCCAAACTTTTCATCTCGTTCAAGTATCTACATTTAAATGGTTGAACCAGAAATGCCGTCAAAAGCGTATTCTTTGGACCGAGTACCAGCAAAGATTGTAGAGGATTATTTGCCGTTCACGACTTAAGAAAGTGTTGGTCGTCATTTTTCCGAATTTCGAGTAACCTTAAAATCCTGCCTATTTAGAAAAAAAAATCTTCAGTCACGTAAACTTGTTCGATTGTACAGGACTTAACCATCGTGTCGGTTGTAAGTTCTCTACAAATAATCTAACAATAGTGAGATTATATTGCCATAAAATAAAGAAAGATAGCAAGGATGATGATGAAGACGACGACGACGATGATGATGGTGACATTGATGTTGATGATTTTATTTAATATCAAACGTGTCACATGTCTGCTGGAGCATTCTTCGGGTGAAAGTTAATATACAACAACGAAGCAACACACACGATACACACGATCGTACAACATCTAACCAACATATAGATAGAAAGAGAGAGAGAGAAAGAGAGAGAGGGGGGGAGAAAGAGAAAAAGAAAGAGAGAAATAGAGAGAGAGAGAAATAGAGAGAGAGAGAGAGAGAGAGAAAGAGAGAGAGAGAAGTTAGAAATAGAGAGAGAGAGAAAGTTAAGTAGAGAGAGAGAGAGAAAAGAGAGAGAGAAAAAAGAGAGAGAGAAGAGAAAGAGAGAAAGTTAAGTAGAGAGAGAGAGAAAGAGAGAGAAAGAGAGAGAGAGAGATAGTGAAATAGAAACTAGACTGAAGAGAGGAGGATGGATGAATGACGCAACAAAACTTGTTGCGTTCCAGTGACACATTTAAATTAAATCTTCTCTCAAACATTTTTATTGTTGTCGTTGTTGTTGTTTGCGGTTTTTCCTTGCTTTAAAATATGTTAGAAATGTTGACATGCGCAATTATAGAGTCGTTTGTTTGTTTGTTTGCTTGTTCATTCGTTTGTCCATTTGTTTGCTATTGTTGTTTGTCGTTGTTGTTGATATGTTTTTAAATTGAGGTTATGGCAGTTGTTGACCTTATTTTCGTTAATGATTTCATCAAATAGCAGTTATTGAAATAAAATTAAAAACAAAGGAGAAAACAACAACAACACTATGATCATCATCATCATCATTACCATCAACAGCAGCAGCAAACACAGCAACAACAACAACAACAACAACAACAACAACAACAACGGCCCATCAGCAGTTAAACCTTTTAATTGCACCCCTGTCAACATGCGAATTCCTTAATTGTTCTCCGATGTGTTGATTTTGTAAAAGTATATGTTTCTACATTCACACACACACACATACACAAATTTATATATACAAACAAACATGTATATTTTCACAGGTTCAGACAGACACATACGTACAAACTAATATGTTCATTCAATCAAAAAGTTTCTTTATTTTTTATTCCTTCATTCAATCATTCGTTTGTTTATTCGTTCGTTCGTTCATACATTCATTCATTCATTCATTCCTTCATTCATTCATTCATTCATTCATTCATTCATTCATTCATTCATTCATTCATTCATTCATTCATTCATTCATTCATTCATTCATTCATTCATTCATTCATTCATTCATTCATTCATTCATTCATTCATTCATCATTCATTCATTCATTCATTCACTCATTCATTTATTCATTCACACATGTCTAATCTACTCGACATAACATGACAACTAAATTAAAAATAGCCACCAATCGAATTTCACATCCCCAAAGGTTTAATTAACCGTTAAATAATGACGTAACAAAAAATGGGCGTGGCCAATTAGTCTAATGGAGCAATGTGATTGGTTCTTTTAAATTTAAATAAGCTTAATGATGCCGTTTGATTGGTCGATCTAATTTAAACCCTCCAATCATATGAAAGTATTTTTGGAATGTGAATGATGTTTTAGCGAAAGTAATAATTTGTAATTATAGAAACACCGATGAAGGTAATGATATATATACAATATATATATATACACATATATATATATATATATATATATATATATATATATATGTTGTAATCACATTTTTCGTGTTCATTTCATTATTTCAATTTTCTTATTTATATTATTATTGCTATAATAATAATAATAATATTAAACAATAATAATACTAAATAATACGTTTCATTATTATTATTATTATTAACAACAAGAATAATAATTATTATTGTATGAACGAACTTGAACATGAAAGTCCTAAGCAATGAACGAAGAGTAGGTTATTATTATTGTTTATAGTCGTTAATGTTTTTTATTATTGTTATTATTATCAGTACTATTAGTAGTAGTAGTAGTAGTAGTAGTAGTAGTAGTAGTAGTAGTAGTAGTAGTAGTAGTAGTAGTAGTAGTAGTAGTAGTAGTAGTAGTAGTAGTAGTGGTAGTAGTAGTGGTAGTAGTAGTGGTAGTAATAGTAGTAGTAGTAGTAGTAGTAGTAGTGGTAGTAATAGTAGTAGTAAAAAAAAGTATAAATTTAATCATAATTATAACCTATAATTATTAAAATTATAAATTAAAAATTGAAGCTGAGAAAAGTTTTAGTTGAAAGAAAGAGACGAGAGAGGATGGATGTGTGTCTGGAGAAACTGAGAATCCTGTTGAAACATCAACAACAACAACACCAGCATCAACAAAAACATCATAGCAACATCAACAACAACAGCCACAATAGCATCAGCAAACTCGAAAAAGCCGACATCCTAGAACAGACGGTGACCTATCTAAATGACCTCATTACCGAATCGTCCAATCAACGATATGTGGGCCAGGTCACGTGTTTGAATGACGTCACCAGCTATCTACGTCGCCATGGCAACGAATTATGTCGTGATGTCGCGGACAAGTTGTTGAGGAGGTTTTCGTGGGTTGATGAACGAGCCTGTGTGGGTTTATTATACAACATCAACAACAACATCAACAACAACATCAACAACAACATCAACAACAACATCAACAACAACATCAACAACAACATCAACAGCAACAACAACAACAACAACATCAACAACAACATCAACAACAAAAACATCGTCAACATCAACAACAACATCAACAACAACATCAACAGCAACATCATCTGTAATAAAAATACCAACACTCTTGCGAATCGAATACCATTTAAAGTTCTGGATTCCAATTGTAAACGATCGTCAAGAACAAAATCATCT